ATACAACATTCCCTGCAAAGTTTCTGAAATGTTAATGGAATGAGATTGGACGAATATTTTCATGTTACTGGGAGGTTAATAGTACGTTTATTAATCTCCGTGTAATGTTATCATCTTACAATTTTAAGTTATGGTAACCTTATTGGGACGTTCATGTGCTGTGAGGGTTTGCACTTTTACGATTTCAATATATTGTCTATTTTTATTTTTTACTTTAAATCTATTAATCTGTTTTAGGTCTAATCAATCGAAATCGTATCATGTACAACGTGCACATAAAAAGAAGGAGTATGTGTGTGATCTGTGCAAAAAATGTTTCAGGTAAGAATGCTTCAGTATAAATTAACAGTAACTTTAACATATTATCTTCTCGTTTAATTCTATTGAATCTCTTTTAGTTCGCACAATTCGAGATGGAATCATGTACAACGTGAACATAAAAAGAAGGAGTATATATGTGATCAGTGCGGAAAATGTTTCAGGTAAAAATATTTCAATAAATTAACAGTATCTTTAACATAATATCGTAATACAATCGTAATAATAAAATATATATATTTTTTATTTTTTATTTTTCGTTTAATTCTATTGAATCTCTTTTAGTTCGTACCAATCAAAATGGCGACATGCACAATATCATAAGAAAGAAAACTTAGTGTGTGATTATTGTGGAAAATTCTTCAGGTAAAATTATCCCTAATAAATTTAGTATAAATTTACAATAACTTTAACATAATATCGTAATAAAATCGTAATAATACAATATACATATATATATTTTTTTAATTTTTATCTTTTTCTTTAATTCTATTGAATCTCTTTTAGTTCGTACAAATCGAAATGGAATCATGTACAACGTGAACATCAAAAGAAGGAGTATGTGTGCGATCAGTGCGGAAAATGTTTCAAGTAAAAATGCTTCAGTATAAATTAACAGTAACTTTAACATAATATCGTAATAACATCGTAATATTATAATATATATTTTTTTATTTTTATTTTTTCGATTATTTCTATTGAATTTTTTTTAGTTCGTACTCATCGAGATGGCATCATGTACAACGTGAACATAAAAAGAAGGAGTACGTGTGTGATCAGTGCGGAAAATGCTACAGGTAAAATTATCTTCTGTAAAAATAAATTAGCATTAACATTGTGACAAGATAATACTCAAAAATACAATTAATATCAGGCCGTCAGTTTAATTGAAAATATATTAGGAAATTTATTAGGAACAGGACTAACTATAAGAATTTCTGTTCATCAGAAACAGTGTATTGTGGAATACACGATTTCTGATAGATTGAAATTTCTACATTTATTCCGAATATTTCCTCTATTATGCTTACGGCCTTACGTATAACATATATTTATATTCTTTAGTAACAAGTTTTAATATTGACGTAATAACGATCTACATATATTAAATGATATTTATCATTGTCAGAACTATTATATAGATAAGACTACGTGATTTTTGTTATGTCAACAGTACCAAAAAGAATTTACGTTATCACATTTCGACGCATTTGCCAGTGGAGACTCGCAAGTATCAGTGCGATATATGCCAGAAGAAGTTTGTACAGAACTCTCATCTTACTATGCACAAACGTATTCATAATGCAGTACGGCCTTATAAATGCGACATATGCTCATTTAGTTCCCGTCATTTGGCCTCCATGAAACGTCATCGAATACTTAAGCACTTTAAGAATAAAAACAAACATGCAAAAAATACACTATCCAAAAATATACTGTGTAACAGAGAGAACTTCGTGTGTGATTATTGTGGAAAATGCTTCAGGTAAAGTTATCCTTGGTAAAAATAAATTAGCATTAACACTATTTCAATACTAATATAATACTCAATAATACAATTGTCAGGCTGTGACCCCAATTGAAAAAATATTAGAAACAGAACTAAATATAAGAATTTCAGTCCATCAGAAATCGTGTGGAATACACGATTTCTGGCGGTTTGAAATTCTTATATTTATTCCTAATATTTTCTCTTTTATGCTTACGGCCTTACGTATAACATATATTTATATTTTTAAGTAAAATTTTTAATATTGACGTAATAACGATCTACATATTTTAATTGATATTTA